TGAACATTTTTTATATATTTGTTGATTGAATGTATATCTTCTTCTGAAAAGTATCCATTCAGCTCCTTAGCCCATTTGTTGATTGGATTGTCTGGTTTGTTTGTTTTAATTTTTTGTAATTTAATTTTTGTAATTTAATTTTTTGTTCTTTATAAATCCTGGTGATTAGTGCTCTATCTGACTTGTGCATGGCAAAAATTTGCTCCAAAAACATAGGCTCTCTTCACCTCATTGATTGTTTCTTTTACTGAGAAGAAGCTTTTTAGTTTGAGTCCATCCCATTTATTAATTCTTGATTTTATTTCTTGTGCTTTAGGACTCTTTTTTAAGGAAATCAGGGCCTAATCTGACCTGATTAAGATTTGGGCCTACTTTTTTCTCTATTAGGCGCAGGGTCTCTGGACTAATTCCTAGGTTCTTGATCCACTTTGAGTTGAGTTTTGTGCATGGAGAGAGTTGGGGGTTTATTTTCATTTTGCTGCATATGGATTTCCAGTTCTCCCAGCACCATTTGTTGAAGAGGCTATCTATTCGGTACCATTGTCTAGTATAAGATAACTATATTTATTTGGGTTTGTCTCTGTGCCCTCTATTCTATACCATTGGTCTACATGTCTATATAGATGCTAATACCATGCTGTTTTTGATACTATAGCTTTGTAGTATAGTTTAAGGTCTGGTATTGTGATGCCTCCTGCTTCATTCTTCTTCATAAGGATTGCTTTGGCTATTCTGAGTCTCTTATTTTACCAAATAAATTTCATAATTGCCTTTTCTATTTCTATAAGGGATTACATTGGAATTTTAATTGGAATCACATTGAATCTGTATAGTGTTTTGGGTAGTGTGGCCATTTTGACAATATTAATTTTGCCTATCCAAGAGCATGGGAGATTTTTTTCATCTTCTAAGATCTCCTTCAATTTCATTTTTTAGTGTTCTGTAGTTTTCATTGTAGAGGTTTTTCACCTATTTGGATACGTTCATTCCCAAGGATTTTATATATTTTTTGAGGCCATTGCAAATGGGATAAGTTTCCTAATTTCTCTGTCAGAGTACATCATTGATGTACAGAAATGCATTTGATATATGGGTATTGATTTTATATCCTTCTACTTTGCTGAATTTATTCATTAATTCCACAAGTTTTCCGGGGGAAGTTTATTAGACCCTCTAAGTATAGAATCATGCCACCAACAAATAATAATTTGAGTTCTTTTTCTATTTGTATCCTTTTAATTTCCTTCATCTGTCTAATTGCTCTGGCCAGAGTTTTTCAAGGACTATATTGAATAGAAGTGGTGAAAGGGGGCATCCCTGTCTTGTTCCAGTTTTTAGAAACAATGCTTCCAAATTTTCGCCATTTAGAATGATGTTGGCCTAGGGTTTAGCATAGATAGCTTTTACAATGTTGAGGTATATTTCTACTGTTCCAAGTTTTTCTAGTGTTTTGAACATGAAAGGGTGCTGTATTTTGTCAAATGCTTTCTCTGTATCAATTGATAAAATCATATGATTCTTTAAGTCTATTGATGTGATCAATTATATTTATTGATTTCCATATGTTGAACCAACTCTGCATCCCTGGAAAGAACCCCACTTGATCATGGTGTACTACTTGTTTAATATGCTCTTGTATGCAGTTTGCCAGAATGTCATTGGGAATTATTGCCTCAATATTCATCAGGGATATTGGTCTGAAATTTTCTTTCCTTGATGTGTCTCAGCCTGGTTTTGGTATCAGGATGATACTGACTTTGTAGAGTGAGTTCAGAAGGACTACTTCCTATTCTATTTCATGGAATAATTTGAGGAGTATTTGGTATTAATTCTTCCTTGTAGGTCCTGTACAACTCAGCTGTGAATCTGCCTGGTCTCAGGATTTTATTTTTTTGATAGGCTTTTGATGCTGTCATCTAATTCCTTGCTTGAAATTGATATGTATAAATTGTGTATGTTCTATGACTCAGTTTGGGTTGATCATATGACACTGTAGTGTATATTAACTCCAACCACAGTTTCTCTGGCATCAGTCATTGATCACAGCTAAAATCATATTATAAAAATTCATGAGGAAATGAAGCAAGTGGAAACAAAGATTGGTCATGGGTTCTTTCATGTGTGACTTCAGTTGACCTTAATTTTGTAACCCCCCATGTTACCACTTGGCACCATAATGAGCGAATCTATATTCCAAGTACCAACAGGTAAGTTGAGAGGAAAGATGAAGCAGTTAAGTGAAACAAGCAAAACATGCTGAAAATGGTATGGCCAAGAAATTCTGAGCAACATGATCTAGCATTAATGTCATCACATTCTAAATCAGATGATATAATTCTGAAGTAGTGCCGCAGTCTGGCTGGGCACAAATCACGAGCCACTGAAGCAGGAACAAACTTTATTTTTAAACTGCAGGAAAACACTTCACACAGCTCCCGGGGAATCCTCCCGAACACGCCACGAGGCTTGTCCAGGAACCCCCAGCAGGAAATATCTCTCCCGGAAAATCCCTCCTCCTGCACTTCCCCAACCAATGGGAACTCTCGGGGAATCCCCGGAAATCCCCAGGAGAACTCCAAAATAGTGCGAGAACTCAAAAGTTGCGGCAGAGGCGGATAGTAATGCCTCGCCTGTCAATCAATACTGTTGGCAAAATGCCAGGGGCCATACAGACTCAGCCGTGGCTCTCAGCAAAGTAGACTGACAGGGAGATGAGGGTACAACAATTTTGGAGTGAAGAGATGAACACTATTGCTTCCATCCTCCTCCTTCTCCTTTCCTTATTGTAGGAGTTAACCATTTTACTAAATTGATTAATGCCTCAGTTACTCTTTCTCACATGCTCTGAGCAATTCAGCACCCTGCTTTAACAGGTACTAGGTTATTGTGGTTTAGATGATTCCATCAAAGTCCAGAAACCACATAAATCATTTGAATAAGGAAAACTTAATATAGACTTATTCATTCCTGAGGCCCTGGGTTTAATCCCTAGCACTGAAAAAGTAAAAAGAATTAACAATTAAAGGTGGTTTTCTACTAAAAGAAGTAAAAGAAGGCTCCAAAGAATGCAGAAATGGCATACAGAAAGCAGGTACTACCTCTTGGGATGAGGCAGAGTAGCAAAGGAAGGAAACAATGTACCATAGGGTCCCCAGTGAGACTGAGGTGCAGAACTCAATGGGGAAGATGGGACTATGGTCCACTGTAAGGTTGAAAGGTATCTGTAATGCTCCAACTAACCAGGTGTCCTCTTTCATAATACACTCCAGAACACTTCTGACACCAAATGTTTAGAGTTTTCCACACCAAGTTATTCTCCAACTCTCTGCACATATCTGGGTGTCCTATAATTCAATTAAGGAATGAGCAGAAACCCCACAGATTAAGTGCACCCCTTGGTCTTAAAAGTATGCCCACATGACTTACTGACAATCACAAGATGACTCCTCAATTTACTCACCTGTTTCTGAAATTCCTGTCACCGTAGGTAGAAAAACAGCCCACTATGGTGGCCCATGCCTGTAATCCCTGAGGCAGGAGTATCACAAGTTCCAAGCTTATGGTCAAAGCTTGCTGTAATTCATCTTGCATCTGAAAATTCTCTTTTTTATTTATGTTCACTCAAGTAATACTTCTCTTTTCTCAGTTGTAGTATTGACACAAAAGGGAAATGGAGAGAAAAGTCAAAGAGGGTAGCAGGAAGTGTGGATATGATCAAAGTACATTATATGCATGCATGGAATATATCAAAGTAAAACCCAATATTTTGTACGATGAATATGTACTAATAGCTTTTTTTTAAGGAGGGGGGGTCTATTGCCTTTTCTTTAATTCCCTGGATTAACATATCACAACATTCTCAATGGTACCAGAAATTTACCTTGTTATGGAATAAGAGGTATGTTTTATTCATCCGAAATAGGAAGCAGATAATATAGAATGTTGGACTCTTCTCTTAAAACTCCATCATTCATTGGAGTTTGGAACTGAAATATTCTCCAAAGGATCATCTGTTAAAAGCTTGGTCCCCAGCTGGTGGCCTTTTTAGGAGGTGGTAGAAACTTGAGGAGGTGGGGACTAGGAAACAGGAAGGAAGTAGGTAACATGGCTGTGTCCTTGAAGACTGTCTTGTCCTGGGCCCCCTGTTTCTCTTGCTCTTGCCTCCCTGCACCCTTGCCTTCTATCTTCCATGAGGTGAGACACTTGCTCCATCACCTGTTCCCTGTCATCACATGACATTCTGCCTCAGAAACAATGGAGCCAGGTGACTATGAACTGAAACCTCTAAGACTGTGAGGATAATAAATCTCTTCTCCTTCAGGTTGATTTTCTCACAGAGAAAAAAAAAGGTGACTAACACATTATTCATTTCTCTGGAAATTTCTGGATGATAAACTTTCTATCATCTGCAGAAATAGAACAAGTGACCATTCTCAACCTCAAGGTTCCTCTACAAACATTCAAGTCCAGTAATGTGTGTCCCATTTGTTTGATTTTTTCTTGAGATAGGGTACCACTATGCTGTCCAGGCTGGTCTCAAAATTATGGGCTAAAGTGATCCTCCTACTTTAGCCTCCCCAGTAGCTAGGACCACAGGTATGTGGTGCCACACCTGTCTTAAATACATTTTAACCAAAAAAAAAATGGCTCCTCATAGTTAAATTCCACATTCCCTAAGCCAGTTCCAAAACAGTCAAATTTTTTCTTCTGCTATCTGAATATAGGACATGAATAGAACTCTCACAACCACACATATGAAGTCTGAACACAGAGCAGGAGGACAAGCCCAGTGAGCCTTCCAAGTATCATCTCAGGAGATTTTGCCACAGGGAGTCTGTAGCCAAAGGAAAGGCAACAGTGGGGGATCAAGGACAGCAAGGGACCCTGTGGGAACAAAACCTGAAAGTTTCAGGGAAGTAATGGAGATTCAGCCTCTGGGTGAGCACCATCAACACCACAGCCAGCGTTGAACCCCTCCATTGAGGTGCTCAGGATCGCCTCTAAAGGAAATGAATTGTCAAGCTGTATAGGGAGCCCCTCAGACTCTCCATGGAGCAAATTGTCATGGACACATCTCCATACATAAACATGAAGTATGGAAAGAGAGTTCCACAGAAGGAAACTGGAGGGAAAGAGAAAATATGAAAACCATCCATCAAGTTATAGAAGGAGACATCCCCTTCACTGTAGTCCAGGAAAACCCCCACCCTGGCAGGGATTTTGCCTAGGAAATAACCAAGTCACAGGATCAGTCAAGGCACAATATCTATCCTTAAACTTCCCCATGACCTAAAACCCCCTATCTGGTAATTCCTCATGCCAATCTATTCTTTTCATATCTTTCCTTCAGACTCCCAGAGTCCACCTGCTGAACCATCCTTTCTCTATCACCACTTCCCAGTAACATCTTCCTGATATGATGCCCTCAAAATCCAACACACTGCATTTCTCATATGTGCACATGCATCTTTTCATTAGACAGAAAGCCTGTGGTGATCAGAGTCTGGATCCAGAGTGACAGGCCCTGTTGAGAAAGTTATCAATCATGCAAAGTCCTCCCCTGCCCCAATAAAAAGCACACAGACACCCACCACCTCATAGCCACAGAGTTGCCTGAACTGAGGAGGGGATAAGCTTCCTGCAATATGAGTCTTTTAACTCAAGGCCATGTTCTCAAACAGGAGAAAGAGCCAGAGGCTGATTTTAGGGGGGGTAGATTTGTGACAGGACCCTTGAGAACCAGTACCAGTGTTGTGACCATCACTTCTGCCATGGTAACACTGTTGGTGATGCCAGCATCTGAATCACCACAGAGAACTTAAGGAGAAGCCAGAAGCCATGAGGGCAACAGGAGGAACATCTAGAAGCACACAGTCACTCATAGGCTTGGAACCATTCCTTCCGTCAATCTATGAGAGAACACAGATCTCATATCAGGGATTTGCAGAGTCTCTACACATCAGGGTCAGCACCCAGTCTTCTGAAACACAGCAATGTGGAAGGAAGAAGGGAAAAGCTATGTGAAAACATTCTGCTGCTGTATATTTACACACACACACACACACACACACACACCCCTCACACATTCTGCTGCAGCTTTCCCATGAAGACTAAGCCCAAAACCTTAACACCCCAGGATCAAAACAGTGGATATAAATCTGAAAGGTCACTGTTCAGATTTAACTACTAAATAATGCTTTTCTCAAGGCACAGACACACAACCATCCTGAAAACTGGGTTATCAAGAGATTTAATTGATGTTATCAAAATTTCCAAGACCTCCAATTACTTATAAAGAACGGACTGTGAGTAGACTACCATGGGAGATAAAGTCCAGAGGCCCAGATCCACCCACGCCAGCATCTGTGGGGCCCAGGGGCATAGCAGGCCTGGTCCACACCTTTCCTGGTGGGGCAGACACTCGCCAGAGCTGAGCCTCTGGTGAAGAACTGCCCCTTCTAACCAGTGGACTACCATGGGAAGCGAGAGCCATCCCAGACTGCCCACACCAGTCCACAAGGGATCCAGGCTCTCAGTAGGCCCAGTCCACCCCTCCACAGGTGGGGCAGGCACTGGCAGAGCCTAGCCTTAGGAGCAGGAATGTCCCTTCTGACTGGCAGAAAACCTTGGGGGGTAAAGTCCAGTGGCCTATATCCACTCACTCCAACATATGCAGGACTCAGATCCAGGATGCAGTTGCATTCATTGAGGGACACCAGCAGGGTATGGAAGCCCAAAACCAAGGTAAGGTAAGACAATCTTCACAGGTACTACAAGAATATAGGGAAGAAACTTTAATATCTCAGATCCACACTGCAAGAAAGGAAGACACACAAGACAACATGAGAAAACAAGGGAGGAAGGTGCCCCCAAACAAACCAGGATACTATAATAACAGAACCCATGGACAGCAAAGTTCATGAAATGTGAGAGAAGGAGTTCAAAAGATTCATAATTAAAATGATCTGTGAAATACAGAATGACCTAAATGAGCAAACACAGGCAAAAATAGATCACTCCAACAATGAGATAAGAGAGAAAATACACGTAGCAAAAGATTACTTCAAGAGAGAGATACAGCCCATGAAAAAAACAGTCAGGAATCCTTGAAATGAAGGATACAATAAATCAAATAAAAAACTCAATAGAAAGCATAACAGACTAGATTACTTGGAAGAAAGAACATCAGATAATGAAGACAAAGTATACAATCTGGAAAATAAAGTTGATCACACAGTGAAGAAACTTAGAAACCATGAACAGAACATCCAAGAATCATGGAACAGCATCAAAAGACTAAATCTAAGAGTTATTGGGATAGAGGAAGGCACAGAGTTTCAAACCAAAGGAATGCACATTCTCTTTAATGAGATAATATCAGAAAATTTTCCAAACATGAAGAATGAATTGGAAAACCAAATACAAGAGGCTTACAAGACATCAAATGTACAAAATCACAACAGATCTGGTCATTTGGATAATATTAATTCTGCCTATTCAAGAGCAAGGTAGATCCAATCCAACACCTAGATAATAAATAATATGGTACTGAATGAACAATGGTTTACAGAAGACATCATGGAAGAGATTTTAAAAAAAATTTAGAGGTAAATGAGAACAGATACAACATATCAAAATCTCTGGGACACTATGAAAGCAGTTTTAAAAGGAAAATTCATTGCATGGAGTTCATACCTTAAAAGAATGAAAACTCAACAATAAATTACTTAACATTACATCTCAAAGCCCTAGAAAAAGAACAACAAATCAAAACCAAAATCAGCAGAAGACAGGAAATAATTAAAATCAGAGCTGAAAGCAATAAAATTTTAACAAAAGAAATAATTGAAAAAATTGACAGAACAAAAAGTTGGTTCTTTGAAAAAATAAATAATATTGACAGTCCCTTAGCCATGCTAACAAAGAGGAGAAGAGAGAAAATTCAAATCACTAACATACATGATGAAAAAGGAAATATCACAACAGACAACACATAAATACAGAAGATAATCAGAAATTATTTTGAAATCTTTTACTCCAATAAATAGAAACTATCAAAGGCATTGACAAATTTGTAGATTCATATAATTTGCCCAAATTAAATCAGGATGATATACACAATTTAAACAAATCAATTTCAAGTGACAAAATGCAGATGCCATCAAAAGTCTACCAACCATGAAATGCCTAGGACCAGATACACAGTCAAGTCCTACAAGACCTTTAAAGAATAACTAATACCAGTACTCTTCAATTTATTTCAGAAATAGAAAAAAAGGCAGCATTTCCAAACTCACTCTACAAGACTCATCTTATAGAAAAAGACATATCCCTCTGATTCCAAAACAAAGCAAAGACACAACAAAAAAAGAAAACTTCTGACCAATATCTCTAATGAACATATATTCCAAAATTCTCAATAAAATTCTGGAAAATCAAATACAAAAAACATATCAAAAAAATCATGCACCATGATCAAGTGGGATTCATCCCATTAATACAAGGTTAGTTAAACATACAAAAATCAATAAATGTAATTCATTACATCAATAGACTTAAAGAATCATCTCCATAGACATAGAAAAAGCATTTGACAAAATATAGAGTTCAAAAACTCTATAAAAACTAGGGATAACAGAAACATATATCAACATCATAAAGGCTACCTATGCTAAGTCCCAGGCCAACATCATTCTAAATGGAGAAAACTTGAAGGCATTCCCTCTACAAATTGGAACAAGGAAGATCGAAGATGGCGGAGTACAAGAGATACCGTTTTCTGGATGCTGTGTGCCGCAGCTGTGTGTAGCTTCTCCATAGGCACTCGCCTTGACAGAATACAGCATCTCAGAGTGTGTGACAGGACCACATACAGTGTATTTTCACAGAATCCACCAGTGCTGCTAACACCACACAGAACTCAGAGACTCTGTCTTCCGGTAAGATTTAGACTCCATTTCCAAATCCCACAGTTTGAGCACATGAGCAGCTCTCAAGCAGTGAAGTAAAAACATTAAATAAGGACCTGTGCAGAGCTACAGAACTACAGACTACACTCTTCTCCAAAGCAGGTCACCAGACAACTTTCTAGCAACAGCACAAGGACATCCCAGCTACCCACACCAGACACCCCTGTGCATGAAACATACGTGGCTTCATCTTGAAAAATATTTCTCGCCATCTTTTGGTGGTCATGGCTACCAGTCTGGATGAATATGCGACTGAACAGGTATCTGGATTCCAACTCTCAATCCCCTCAGCTGTGATGATTTGGCACAGTTACTTTCCAACACAAAAACAGCTCTCATTTGACAGGTGTGCAGTATGACCAGGGTACTGCCCACCTGGTGCAAACCAAGGGCGAAGAGCAAGAAATCCCACAGTTGAGACCTGATAAGCAATAGAGAGGAGGGGTCTAAAAACTCAGAGCAACTCAGAGAAACCAAGATTAGGGAAGCTCCAGGCAAGAGAGGGAGAGCTCAAGTCTTCTCACACTGGTTACCAACACCACGGGGAGGGCAGAGACTCAAGCTTGGAATAGAGAGCTCCAACTACTGGAAGAAAAGAGAGGAAAACAGAATTCTAATAGTATTTTTGTTTGTTTGTTGGTTTGTTTGTATTTTTTTTTTGTTTTATGTTTGTTTGTTTTCTTCTCTTCCATTTTATCCTTTTTCTTTCTCCTCTACCTTTCCTACTCTGGTCCTCACAACCTCCGTATATGTGAAACCAAGAATATTGCATGAAATAGAACTTTAAGAATTGAGTCACCAGAATGATATAATATAGAGGAATTGCATAAGCACCCCCCTTTTTTTCTTTCTCTCCCTCTCTCTTTTCTCTTTCCTTCTTTCCTTTTTATTTTTCTTCCTTCTCTTTTCCTCTTTCAACCTACTAATTTTTATTATTTTTACTTCTTGTAATTTTCTAAATACATATATGTGTTTGTTTTTATGCATTCTACTGTGCTCCAACGTACATGTCTACCCTCCTGTCTATTCCCCTGCTACTAACTCTCTTCATTAGAGTTCTCCTCCAAATTTCCTACATTATATTAATCCCATACCCTCATATCTTTCCCCCTTAATATAACGTCATAAGCCCAACCCCCAGTTCTCTGTCTGCCACCAGAAACTGTACAACTTTTATAAAACTACTGATTATATTTTAAATAATAATTGAATCCAAAATTTCTAGATATTGAGACTAACTAAAATGTCTTAATAACAATAATTTGTTCATAGGTGATGTACTGTTGATATTGGGAACTGTCAACATTGTCCTTCCCCACAAAGGAAGGATCTTGGAACTACAAGAGCACTACAAGTCTATAGAATATGAAGCAAAAACACCCCAGTTCCACAGAGCTGGAACGAAGCACAAGCAACATGAAAAGACAAGGGAAGAAAATAGCACAAATAATTTAAGACAACACAAAAAATTAACAGCTACAGCAGAAAAATTACAGAGAAAGATTTCAGGATATACATGAATTAGATGATTTGGAATCTTAAAGAAGACATTAGATAATACAGACAATGAAAAATCACTTTGCCAATGAGCTACATAAACAGATCCAAGAAGCAAAGGTCACCTCTATAGGGAGATAGAGGTTATACCAAAACCAAAACAGAAATGCTTAAAATATAAGAAATAATAAACCAAATTAAAAATTCAAATGAGAGCATTACAAGCAGAGTAGACCACTTAGAAGACAGGACATCAGACAGCAAAGACAAAGTATAACATCTTGAAAAGAATGCAGACAGCACAGTGAAAATAATAAGAAACCACAAGCAGAATATCCAAGAAATAAGGGATAGCATAAAAAGACAAAATTTAAGTTATTGGAATAGAGGAAGGCATGGAGGTCCAAACCAAAGAAATGAGCAATCTGTTCAATGAAATAATATCAGAAAACTTTTCAGACATGAAGAATGAAATGGAAATCCAAATCCAAGAAGCCTACAGGATGCCAAATGTGCAAAATCAAAACATATCCACACCAAGACACATTATAATGAAAATGCCCAACTTCTGTATTATTCAGAATAAAGAGAGAATTTTAAAAGTCACAAGAGAAGGGAAACACATTACATATATAGGTAAACCAATTAGGATAAAGGCAGATTTTCAGTACAGATCCTGAAGGTTAGAAGATCTTGGAACAAGATATAGCAAGCTCTGAAAGATAATGGGTGCCAACCAAGAATCTTGTATCCAGTAAAACTAAGCTTCAGATTTCAAGATTAAATTAAAACTTCCCACAATAAACAAAAGTTAAAAGAATTTACAGCTAGAAACCTGGCACTGTAAAACATCCTTGGCAAAATATTTCATGAAGGGGAAATAAAACACAACAATGAAAATCAGCAGATGGTAGGCAGTAACCTAAAGGAAAAACTAATCAAAGAAGAAAACCAGTTCAAGTAAAATAACAAAAATAAACAAATATGGCTGGAAATACAAACCATGTCTCAATAGTAACTCTAAATGTTAACG